GTATTATATTTCATTTCTAGAAACAAGTAGGTCCACACTCATTTTATGACTAGATCCACCCCTGGCGAGCATCTTCCTCACCCTCGATCCATAAATTATTGGACTTTCGATTTGGACGTGTGATTCTTAAATATGTGATTGTATTACACATAATCGTTAATTATACGGCGTTATAGATTTGGATATGAGAGTCGTAAACTATGCGAACATTTGTCGCATAATCATAAATATACAAAGTTCAATTTAGATATACGATTCTTGAATATGCAAAGCGTTATCGCATATGGTAAGTTATCAAGTGGATTTGGTATGCGAGTCATGAACTATGCGGAAATATGCCGCATAACATAAAATATGCGACGTTTGATTTGAATATGCGATTCTTGAATATGCAAAACTTAATCGCATATGGTAAATTTTGCGAAAATTCGCATAGTCATAAAATATGAGACGTTTGATTTGGATATGCAATAAAAAAATATGACATAATTTCTCGCATATGGTAAATTATGCAGAGGATTTAGATATGCGAGTCGTAAACTATGCGAAAATATGTCGCATAATCATGACATATGCGACGCTCGATTTGGATATAGGATAAAAGAATATGCGAAACTTTATCGCATATGGAAAATTATGCAGTGTATTTAGATATGCGATTTGTGAACGATGTGAATATGTTGCATAATAAAACATGCGAAGTTCGATTTGAATATGCGAAAACAGAATAGGCGAAAATACTCGCATATGGTAAATATGCGGTGGATTTAGATATGCGAGTCGTAAACTATGGGACAATATATCGCATTATCATAAAATATGCGACGTTCTATTTGGATATGTTGATCACATAATATAATTAAGTGTTTCACGTACTTGTTAACTATGTATCCGATTTGGTTATGTGTTAAGTTGATTTTAGCCAAGTACGAATAAATCTCGACCTTGGGTCGTGTCTCTCGAGGAAGGTGATTCGGAGCGTCGTTCACTAGTTAATTGTCCACAGAACATAAATGGAAAATGAAATCTTAAACATTCTAATCGCTTGATGGAACGTTGATTTTAAGTTAATTGCAACTAAGAATCGAGAGCAATGAATTAAAGATGCAAACTTTCAAGAAAAGATCGGTCTTTGGGTTGACCTGAGTCTCCATAATTCAAGAAAAGCAAATAAACGAAGAGAAATATGCTAGAACTAAGATCCTAGGTCATTAGCATAAGCTTCCTTAACGTAAATGATTGAGCTTTAACCAAAGTCACAACCTTTATAACAAGATAAGCAACTATTTAACTCCTCTAATCACTTAGGCAAGCAATGAAATAAAAAACTCCAAACTTTCCCAATTCAATAATCAAACACCACATTTACCTTGAAACACATCATAAATAAAAATAGAAAAAATACGGAGTAATGAAGTTTAAAAGTAAATACCCACTCTCCAATTGCGTGCTCGAAGAAAACCGAGTGAAAATCTTGAAATCTGAATAAAAACGAAGTCGCCGGAAAATAAGAGTCGTGAAGCTCCAAACCAAAGGTAGAGAGAAAAATAAGAAAAAAACTTGTTCCCAAGTCTATATAAAAGCTTGGTCAAAATACAATGCACTCAAGTCTATTTATACTACTAGTCAAAACACACACAAAAACTACACACATTTAATGAAATACACTCGCCCATTCAGATTCCGAGCGAAACTTTTCGCCTGGTGAAATGTGGTGCGGTTCACCTGCTAGCCATAGGCGAGTGCTCTTTTCTGTGTTCATGTGTAATTTTACACCATATTTATAGAGTATTTAGAGCTTAGTCATTGCATTATTGGTGTATAAATTGCATATTTTTGCTTTAATTCTCTATTTGTTGGAAAGGTATTACACGTGCTTGTTTTGTAGATATTTTCACATATTTGTAGGATTTGTGGCTATTGGAGGCACACGTTGAGTACCTAGGACCCCCGTGATGATGAAAGATTGATGTACGGATGAGAAAAATTGAAGAAACGAGCGAAACGGACAAAAGTGTGCATGCAGGGGTGTGACACGGTCAGTGACACAGGCATCATGCCCGTGTCATGTGACCGTGTCACCTAACTGAAGGATTTCGAAGCTTTTGACGTGACACAGGCTGCGACACGGCCAGTGACACGGGCAGACTGGGCGTGCCGCGTGCGTATGCTGATTTTTAATTCTTGCCTTTTTGGATAAGGAGAGGACTTTTGGACATATAAAAAGGCATATTTACCTTATTTTGAGCCAGAGAACGTGGAGAAAACAAGAGAGGAGCCCTAGAACACAAAAGAGAAGCAATTGAGGAGAAAAAAGAGGATTAACTACGAAGGGATCAAGGAGATTGAAAGATCGACGAGATTCCTAGTTTTTATTTCTTCTTTCCTATTGAACATTTATTGATCATGTCGATTTCTAATATGTCTATGTATTTGAATTCGAACATGATTAGCTAGATTTATTGATTCTAAGACTTGATAATAGATTAATATATTGGGATTTGGATTATTTATTTATAATTAAGTGTTTTTCTTTTGAACTCTATTCAAGTATTTTGTTCTTATTCCATGTTTAGAACTTGATCAATTCTTTTACATGTTTGACAATATTGTTCATAATTCGAGAGATGAGTTCAATATTAGGTCTTTAATATTTGACACAATTTACTTGCTTGAATCGAGAGATTAGTATGTAATTGTGAGGATTTTAGATCTTTTAATCTATTTGGAGTTGAATTGCATGTGTTTAGTGGAGACGCTAATATATGTGATTTAATCTGCGGTTTTATCGATCTCGAGAGGGACGATAATTTGTGATCTTTTTATAGGTTAGATAAAGAAAACATTTAGTTGTGATATTTTTGAAGAATCTTAACTGTTAATTGAACCCACAGTCTTAGAATCTCTCATTCCTATATATTTGTCTTACGTGTTCTTTAGTTTATTCATTGATCTTGCTTTATTTGCTTTGATTTATTTTCTTAGTTTAGTTAATCCATCTCATATTCGATCGTCTAAATAAAGTTGACACTATCATCATCTAGTACTTGATATATTCATTATTTGGTCTCTTGGGATACGACCTTGCTTGCCACATACTACGAGCGAAGCCATACACTTGCGGTCGAGCTTTAAAATATAGGTGAACAGTATGCCCAGCAAAATGGGGTGCATTCCGCCCGGGCCAATTAACTCGCCCATTTTGTTGCTGGGTGATTGCTTCCCCGGGTGCGCAGGGTAGGGGTGAGCGTGGGTCTGTACGGTTCGGAGATTGATAAATCTCCAGAACCGTACCAAACTTCGGAGATCCCAAAATTCGATCTCCGGAACCGTACCAAAAAGTCGGTTCGGTTCGGTATTCGAGACTATTGGGACGGCTCATTTCGGTATAGTTTGGTTCGGATCTTCGGAGATTTTTTATTTTTTCAACTTATTTTTGAATGACTACCTAGTTATATTATAATTTTTATATGCTTTAAAAAAAATAACATTCATCAATAATTCATCATATTGAAGATTTTATTTTGAAATCAATTCTAGAAGTAACTCTAAATTTTAATTATTTAATTTTTATATGCTTTAATAAAACCAACATTCATCAGTACATCCCCACATTAAAGATTTTATTTTGAAATCAACTTTATAAGTAGCTCTAAATTATAGTTATAACTAAATTTGTGCAACTAATATTGAAAATTTAAAATTCAAATAAAATATAATATTTTTTTTCTTAAAAGAATATTCTTTAAACTTTCATATTATTTTAAATAATTATTTTATAATAGAAAAAAGTTCAATTGTAGATCAAGTATTACTAAGCATGAAATTTAAGTGAAGGTTAATATTTATTACTATATTAATATTTATCTAATGTTTTAATTCGGCTCTTAATTTTGGTTCTTCGGTTCGGCACATTGCGGGACGGTTCCGGTTCGGTTCTCGGTACGGATATTTGTGAAATCTCCAGAACCGTACCAATTATTTTTTTTTTGGTTCGGTTCTGTTCGGAGAAAGTCAAACGGTCAACGGTTATTTTTCGGTTCGGAGTGATTTCAATTCGATTTTCTAAATGGTTTGGAATTCTTCAAGTCTCATGCTCAACCTTGGCACTGGGCGAAGGCAGCTGCGCAGCGCGGGGCGCGGGCCAAGTTTCGGGAACGACACATGAACCTCGGAAAACACTCACGTTAGTCGTGCAACGGTAGAAATTTCTCGGGTCTCTTTCATTGTTCTCGGACTCCATGGGGGATTGTGCTAAAACGCTCGAAAATGGACGAAGATGATGTACTGTTTTTTTTTTTAACTCGCACGCTTGGGACTTTGTTCGGTTCCTCCTGTTTCTAGCTCGAACGACGGACATACAAAACACCAAAAGAGACGAGAAAATACGGTAAAAAACACAAAACGCACAACGAGAGCAAAAATACACAAAACTCGATGAAAATTGATCAATTAACGCTAACACGAACCTAAAAAATCTCAATTACCACATAAAATACAAGAAAATAAGTACAAAAACACAATAAACAATATACGAGATGTAAAATATGCAAAAAATTATCGTACAATCATAAAATATTCGGCTATCAATTCTTATATGAGATCACTACATATGACAAACTGCCATAACAAAAATTATGCGATGAATTTGAATATGTAATTAATAAATATGCAATTGTATTTGTTAACTATGCATCCAATCTGTATAGTATATATATCACAAAATCTCGAATAATTATTAATTATGTGGTTCATATGACCTTTTACTATATTTGAGTTGATTGTCTATATTATTTATTATTTTCTTAAAAATTAGTATCTGCCCCCAAAAACTCTCCCTATTCTCTCTTCTTCCTCCACTTCTCTGGATTCTTTTTGTTTCTTTCGTCCGTACAAACAAAAACGAGCAATCGGTTAAGTAGAACAAATATCTTCTTCAGGAACGAATTTCGTCCAGGATAAATTGGAGCAACCAAGTTTTAAAGAGTATTTTCATTAACATGGGCGCGTGTGTTTCGGTTCAAAAATGCCCGGAGCCGGCCGTGGAGCTCCATTTGTCCGACGGGTCCAAGAACGATAAGCTCTCACAAGAGGTCGATGCGGTCAGCGGCGACGATCACGCCGTTTCTCACTTGAAGTCTGAACTGTCAACTCGTTTTCGCCTCGCTGGTATTTTGCGCCCATCTGTGTGTGTGTGTGTGTGTGTGTGTTTTCCATTTGGTAGTGGTGACTGGATTTTTCTTTATCGAAAAATTAAAATCGGTTAGTAATTTTCAGTAAATTTTGTTACTCACTGAATATTGGTACATGGTAAACAGTGTTAGTTTTGGGAAATTTTACGGTCCCGAAACTATTCCGTCGGGGTTTGTAATAGTTAGATCAACTATCCCGATGGTTACATGATGATCTAACAGTTACAAACATTTATGAAATGGTTCCGTAACAGGACTGTAGCATCTCCGGTTAGTTTTAATGCGGTCAGGCGAGCAAAATTGCGCCTCCTCTGTTTGTATAATTACCTTTTTTCTGTTCATTCACCTGCTGATGCTTATCTATTTAGGTGGCGATAAAGTGAATTAAACCTCTTTTTTAAGGTGATGATATGAAGACACTATTTTTCATGATTAATGATCCTTTTTTGTTTGGAATTTTCAAGGGAAATTTCTCTATCTATCTAGTGATCATTTTACATTTGAAATTTCTAAAGGTTTCTTTATTTTTTTCTTATTTTATTGGGACAGTTGTAGACTGGAGGAGAATAAGACATTAACAGTTGCCCCATAATTAATTACTTCCTTGGTATTCATTTGACTTTTGCTAGAAAAAAAAAAATAAAAAAGAAATGATGTATTTCTGTATTGAAATGTACAGCTCAATGTTTACATTGGTTTTTTAATGGTGAAATTGCAATTTTAGTCTTGTTGGTTTGTTCTAGTGGCGTTTTTTTGTCCTAAGAATTGAACATTTTTGTTATTTTGTCCTATTATTTTAAAATTCAACGTAATTTCAGTCTTTTGGGACTGAAAATGCAACAAAATTTAAAATTACAAGACTTAAATTGCTAATAAAAAAATCTTTTGGATGGATTTTTTAATAGCAATTTAAGTTCTGTAATTTTAAATTTTTGTTGCAATTTCAGTCCCGAATAACTGAAATTACAGCAAAATACTACAGGATCAAAAGACAAAAAGTTGAAATCTTGGGACTAAAAATGCTACAGCGTTAAACCAGCAGGACTAAAAATGCAATTTTGCCATTTCTTGATGAATTGTTGATGCAAAATGCCCTGGCTCTGACAATTGTTCCTTAAATGGCTTTTGAAAATAGTAGTTGATCTGTTACTGTTATATAATTGATTGGGGTGACCCAACTGGCTGCAGCTGATTAACTAATCCTGAAGTAGTAAATGAATTAACATTTAACTAACAAATAATAGTTTGTTCACATGGCATGGTCATGTAGTAATTCTTATTATGAAACAAGATATATGAGGAGAACAATAGTTATGTTGGATTGAATTTGAGGACCACAGAACAAATTAGGGTATAGTTATGTACCGGCAGAGTCTACTGGCAAGTGAACTAAGGTTTTTTTTATGCCATATGTGCCATATCATAATGTCAAAGGTCGTGGTATACACATGTTTCCATCTGTCATTTGCTCGTCGAATTGGATGATTTTGGTTTGAATTCTCGATTTTAAGACTTCATGATATCTGAAACATAATTTAGCAGTCAGTGATTTTCTCGGTGAATTTGGTTTGAGCATGTGTGTTTATAATTCATGTTTTAGTTCACCTGTCGATTTTGTTGTACGCCGTTCTTTTGTTTCCCCATATTAGGCGTCTTTTGACATGCGTTTCTGATATGAGGTGTTTCTATTTTGTGCAGTCAGTAAAGATGAAGCGTTCTTCGATTCTCAGCCTTGGATAGAGTCGGACTGTGAAGATGACTTTATGAGCGTCAATGGAGGTAACAAACTTCTCTCATTATTAGAAATTTTATTATTCTCCTTCATTATTTACAATCTAATCTTTGTTTCTGTTTAACAAACTGCATCCGCCCGAACTCTGACGGTATATTTGTGTTGATTCTATTTTACAAAGTACAGCCTCAAGTAGATTTGTTTGGTTAATAGTTAATAAAAAAAATAAAAATCAAATCAAGAGAAAGTATTTGCAGTTTCCAAAGTTTACTGGAGCTTTAGTATATAGGAAACATTTAGGGGGTCGTTTTTCTAATTATTGTAAATTGCAGATTTCACTCCGTCTCGCGGAAGTACACCCGTACACCACAAATTCTCGTCTGGAAATCCGACGGTAAATAATATGGAAAAGGCAGTAGCATCCAATATGGAGCAGAAGAAGAGACTCTCTGAACTGTTCAAAGAGAGCCTACGCCATGAGAAGGAGGAGGAAAACGAAACTAATTTCGAAAATGTGAAAGCCGTAAACGAGTTTACCAATGGCTTTGAAGATGATAAATCAGTAACTCAAGATAAATTGATGGGAGCTGATGATGAGCCGTATAAGGCTATACAATGTTGCCTTCCAAATTTTGGTGATAAGAAAAGGAAGACGAGCCCCATTTTAGTCCACGGCACATAAAATGGACTATTTGTGAATATTATCCACACATTCTCTATATATATATAAAAGCTAAAGCAGCTCGGAAAGTTTTTGTTTTCCAGCCTAAGCTACTCTAAGTGTCATCGGATGGCTCCACAGCAAAACCGTTTGATTTATTAATCGAATTTCACCTACTTTTCTAAAACATTTATAAATTTACTGAGACGGCTCTTGAAAATTTTTTAAGAGCTATGTAGAAGTGGCATGTCAGTTAACGTAATATTAAACATGACATGTCATGTATGACGAAGACGTGACGTGTCATGTATGCCGAAAAACATAGAATTACTAAAAAAATTATCCTAAAATTGTAATGATTTTTAAAAGTTCAGTGAATACTGTTGATTAACTGTATTTGACTACTGTTGATCAATTGTATTTGACTACTTTTGATACACTTAGTTGTTAGACTACTTTTTAATTATTTTTTTTCTAAAAATATTCTCACTATCTATTATACTATCGTTTTAATTGAGATACTTATAATTACCTTGCGATATTTTTTTTACGTGTATTTTAGAGATATATTTGTGTTCGTTTAATCGTAGATTGACATAATATTGATTATTTTCAAATAATTTTATGAAACTATGATGGAGGCGCATTATTTTGGATGGAAAATTGGGTCAAAATAGTTATTGGAGTTGAAAATGACGCTAAACGAATGAAGACGGAATATGGACCATGGGTTAGGAAACTTAGGATAGGATGAGCCCATCCCAGTGCCAGCATGAATTTTGAGTTAATGTGCACTCATTTGAGTTTTATAGCCCAATTACAAACCCACAAGAAATGAAAGTAGCCCAATTATGTTGAAGCTCAACCCAACAAATAAATTAAGTCAAGAGCAAGTTTGTCATTTAGCAAGGGATGAATTGAACCTCCTTCTTCTTCACCTCACACCTCACGGCGGCCAGGGACAGATTTAGTAAATATAATGAGCGAGGGCCTAACTATATTATTAAAAAAAATATAAAAAAAATTTAATGAAAAGGACAAATGCAAAAATAGTGTCTTGAGAATAAAACCTGATCATCTTAACTAATTTTCGCATTGATAAACAGAATTTCCCGTCCTATATTCTTTGTGCCCAAATATACTAGAATTTCCCTCAAATCTATTTGGATTCAAAATATCTTTTTTTGGTACATTTCACAAGAATTTTGTTGACATGTCCTTTTTGAAAATATCAATGTCTGATACACAAAAATAATAATATAAATTTACAATAAATGAAATTCCCCATTTTGACATATCACACTTTAAATAGCTGTAAAAAAAACCTAAAAAGGGCTTGAATGTGCAATTTCTACATAAAAAAGAATATATTTACCATTATCTAAAAAATAAAAAAGAGTAATTTTTACCTATATTAAAACAAACAGAAAGAATTTCGTTATCTTGTAAGTAATCTTCCCGTATAATTGGACCAAAAATTGACAAACTTTCTTACCCTTTATTTTTTACCCTTATTTTTCCCTTCTTTTTTTCCCTTCTGTATTTGTCTGTGTGATCTATGCACTCTTTTCTCTTGTTTAATTATTTTGTTAAATGTTTTATTAGTTATTATATTAAACTTATTTATTAGGCTCATATGGGCTAGTAATAATATTAAGGTTTAGTCTTTGTGAGCTGGGCAGTTTTTATTGGGCTCATATGGCATAATAATTATTTTTTAAATTAAACAATATGAGTTAATACTAATACTATGTTTTTTTTTTTTTTTTCTAGTGTGGGCCTAGGCCCACACTGGTCCCAATAAGGCTTCGCCCCTGCGGCCAGCTTATTACTGGAGTACCACGGTCGAACTCTGCCTTTATGATCTCCAGCGAAGTTCGATAAAGGCCATGTTCTAGGGAAAATCTTTCTCGCGCTACCTCGTCTCTGGAAAAAAGTTGTCGTCCACAGGGCCGGACCTACATATAAGCTAGGGGGCCACGGTCCCCCCCCCCAACCCCCACCCACAAAAAAATATATTTGGTTAAGTATATTTAATTGTCATTATCCCGTTAACCAATTAACTAAAGATATTTTGATTATATTGATTGAAACTATGTGGACTAGGACATGTCAAAGCCCATTACATTAACTAAAGATATTTTGATTATATTGATTGAAACTATGTGGACTAGGACATGTCAAAGCCCATTACAGAAATATATAGAAGATAAGCATAAAAAGTCCATTTAACTTCTACCTTTTATTATATTATATAATATTATTTCTTTATAAATAAAACTACTTTAATTAGCATAAAAAATTAAATTCAATTCAAGAGTCTAGAGATAGAGATAGAAACACACAAAACAACGGTACCAGGACGTAAAACACAACGGAGACAAGCTTGCAAGGTAAAAAAATAGAACAATTTTACAACAACAGCAAAAATCATTGGTCCAATTCCTTGATTCTTCAGAATAATTTGATCATTATTTTATATTTGTGAGTACTTTAATTTATGCATATGTTCATAACTTTATTTATTTATCCTTTTTAAGGATTTCGAGTTTAAAACATATGTATATTTATTGATCATTCTTATATATACTGACTATCACTAAATAATCTATAGCACAGAGCGTTTCGGTTATGGCTATTGTTAAATCCAAACTGCGAAGTGAAATGGAAGATGACTTACTTATAATTCTTTGACTATCTTCATTGAAAGGAAATTGCAAGATCTATTATTACCGAGTCAATCATTGATGGGTTTCATGACTTGAGAGAACGCCGACCACAATTCTAATAGCTACAAAGTTTGGACGGTAAGTATTTTCTTGAACTACTTTTTATTTTTAATTCTAGAAATGCAACTTTGTCGTTTTAATGAAACATGTAATTGAAAATTATTTAGTCCCCCCAATTAAATTTTCTGGATCCGCCCCTGGTCGTACATGAATGGAAACCACCATGTACGACCATCTGGACGTGGACGTCACCTCCGACCACTGGAGGTCGCCTGATATGCCTTAAAACCACTCGGGAGCTGCAATACAAATTGAAAACAAAGTTTCAACCCACATGAGTCATGTCAACCGACGAGTCGTGTGGGTTCCGAACGATGGAGGACTGAACACTCGACATTTATACGAGTCTTGTGCCTCGTGTGACATGCCACATGTCTCTTGTGGCACCTCGGGTGGGTTGATTGTGTTTGACGCGCTTTTATCTTTTTCGATTGGTTTTCAACCTATTTTGACAAGGATTCTACTCCAATTTGGACATCTTTGGAAGCTAGGAACACACGCAAGACGAACGAGAAACCAAGAAGAAGAGAACGAATTAGTTTTTTCTTTCTTTTTCTTCTTTTTTTTCGACTCAATGTTTATATTTATTTTCCAGTTTTTATAAGCATGTTCTTAGACTAAATTTACTTTAAATTCTTCTTAGTACTCATATTGATTTATGTAAAAAAAATATTTATCTTTTGTTTATGATTTTCTTGTGCTTATTATAATTATATGAGTAGATGATCACTATGAATCCATATTTGTGAATGATTTTAGATCGAGAGGAGATAGTAGATTGATAGAATTGTGGATTTTATAAAGTATGAGAATAAACATACCATAAGATTAATAGGATCTTATGAGATAACAAAAATCTAGAAACTTATGGAGTTAGTTGTTCATATTGAGACTAAGATGAAATAAATAGAAATTAATCTATCACTTAACTTGTTCCAGAGAAATATTAAATTAATTTAATGATTATCTCTAGTATCTATACTTATATTATAAGCAAACCTATTTACTAATTTCAGTAGGTAGAATAGTCAACAATAATTAATGATTTGCTATTTTTATCAAGCATTTAATTAATGCATCTAATATTTTTGGTATGCAAATCAAATTAGCATTGAATTAGTTCCTAAAATATTGGCTATGCAATATTAATTTAGGAATATCCATGTAGTTCATAAAATGTTGGTATGTAATACGTAAAAGAAGATTTTTTAATTGTTCTTAAATATGAAATATTGCAACACGTAAAACTATTTCAGTTATTTTTTATTTTATTTTACATATAAAATCTAATCAATTTTTAATGCATCCTACAAAATTGGATTTAGTTTAATTCTCCATACAACTGGCCGTAACTTTTTTAATTGTATTTTTTTTATTTATTTATTTTATACTTTTAAATTAATGAAGCTCGCCGAAAATACTAAATCAAATGATATATGAATGTTTTTTTTTTTTTTTACAATTTTAAATCTATATAACCAGCTTAAAAAAACTAATCGCATAGATATGGACGAGTTTAGAAAATTTCATAACCCGTCTTATAAAATTTCATCTCCACGAGTCAAAAAAATCACATCCCTCATCTATCGTAACAACTTTAAAAGTAAATAAATAAAAGTCTAATTACTACTCTAAATACATTATCTATATAGATTTTTTAAAAATCTAAATTTCACCTGTCTAATTACTCATATTTTATATACTTTTAAATATTATTTGTATAATTTTTTTTTACACATTTGCTCTCTCTATATATATACTTATATGGAGGTCAAATGAAGAATTTATAGACATATTTTTTTTACGGGTGTTGGGAAATATTTAGGTACCTTCAAACATTATTTGTGAATAATATAGAATATTTTAGATGCTTTTTATAGATGTTATAAAATATTTTAAGTATTTTTAATATTTATATATCACACTTAAAAAGAATAAATTGCCAAAATAAAAACACTAAATACACATTGTAAATGTTAATAGAAACATTTTTCAGTGTTCGTCTTTGATTTTGTCAAAACAAATCTCATAAAATCGGTGAAATCAAAATTTGTACGTAATGTCTATCTATACTAAAAAAAAGGTAGATTCAAAATTCTTTATCTAATTTCTTCTTTTCTTTATTTAATTCCTTTTTATTATCTAATTGTATAGAAATATGTTCTGATTTTGTTCAATCCTCTAATTGTATTTGTATTATATCTCATCAAATCGGTTTAACAAAAAAATCTC